CGGGCGCACCCAGAGGCCGAGCTGCCCGCAGGGAAGTGACGGAAGAGGCGCCTGTGCGTCCGCGCCTGGCCGAGCTGGGCACTTGACCCTGGTGGCGGACCTGGGGCTCCGGGTTCTGCTGCCCGCTCCGCTCCGAGGAGGGTGTGGGGGGAAGACCGCGGGAGGCCGGCGGGTGGGCAGCTGGCCCTGGTGACAGGCAAACTGGCCGTTAGCCCTCCCAGGTCCACGCTGGCTGTGTGACCTTGGGCTAGTCACTTTACCTCTCTTTTTCATTCTCTTGGGAATGAGAGCTGTACCAGGACTTTTTAGATGCTCGAAAAGCATCTAAAAAGTGCCACACTTTTAGGTATTTCTGGGAAGGAGCTGGCTCTTGGCACCGGAATACAGACGACCAGCGTCCAGCTGAAGAGACTCAGCAATCTAAACACATCCTTCCAGCAGAACTAGTTGAAAATTACAGAAAGCCCTTAATAACTGTGTGTATCCATGCACCTATTTATGCACGTCCACACATGTATGTCTCTAGGTGTAAAGGCAGAATTGTGTCCCACTAGAGAAAAGAAGTGTGGCACTTTTTAGGTCTAGGAAACCCTTTCTGTTAAAGACTGAGTAGGAGAGTATGTTGGAATTGCTTTATTGGCATCAAAGACTGGAAGGAGTCCCAATAAAGTCAGAATAATGGATCCCTGTTGGGATGCGGTAGAAAAGAAGGCAGACTGAACTTTTCATGTAAGCTCTTTATATTTCCTTTTGGACGGTGTGATTGTTTTTACCAATCCAGAGAATGTCACCAACTTTAACCTCAAGACGGTGGTGAGAGAGGAGGGGTGGGCTTCCCCTTGGCCTTACTTTCTTGGGGTCCTGTTTTTATTCCTCCAGTGCCCTCCTCTTGCCTCCTGCCAGCACCTCTCTGAGCTGCTGGAGGGGGTCTTTCATAGCTGGGGCTCCCCTGCACCCGGCTGTCAGGCAGCCCCGGGGCATCTGGGGGAATTCTGCCTGGCTGTGGGTTTGACAGATGACGGGCCACAGAGCATGCTGGGAGTCTTGTCAGTTTCCCCGGTCCAGCCTCCCACGGGCGTGACAGATGCTCTGTTCAGGCTCAGTAGCTTTCCTAGATGTGGCTCTGCCTTCCATCCTTGCTGCCCAGGGCTCAGATTTCATGCCCAAAGGGGAAGGGACCACAGAAGTGGAGGTTCCAAGGTTAGACTCCAGGAGGAACGAGTGCTCCCAGGAATCTGAACTTGGGATAGTTGGACAGCCCCTCACCCCCACTTTCTGAAAGGGGCTGGGACAGTCTGGTACCTTTACCCACTTAGCAAATACCTATGAACCAGGGGCTGGGATTTAGAGGTGAGCCAAAGAGGCCAGTGCTCCAGAGGGGGAGACACAGTTAACGATTCAACCCATAGGTAGTAAGCTCTGTGAACAAAATACTACAGGGGGCAGACAGAGGCAGGAGAGCACGTTTCTTTAAGTTTCTTTAGGGGCAGATCAGAAATTCAAATAAGAAGGAGCCAGCTGCATGAAGATGGCTGGTAAGGGCACTTGTATCAGGGATCAGCAGATGCAAACGCCCTGTGGCAGGAATAAGTTAACATGATAAATGCGATTTGTAGACCCCTGCTATTGTGGCAGGAGCTGCCTTCCGGGTGTTTGCTTTGTGTGTGGCTTTGGGCATGTCCCACATGCTCTCTGTGCCTCAGTTTCACCTACTGTAAAACAGGCATAGTGACAGAACCTTCTGGAGTCATGGTGAATTAATACATGTAAAGTGCCGAGAACAGACACAAGCAGGTGTTTATATTATTGACACACTTCAAACTCATTTGTATGCTGCCTGTGCTACTCGGAGCCGCACCTAAGTCTGGGTCCCACTTCTTCCCAGTCATGTGACCTCGAGCAAGTCATTTTCCCTCTCTGAGCATGGTGCCTCCATCTGGGTCCCATGTAGCTGTGGGCATTCAATAAGACCGTTTGTGCGTTCAGGGAGCGCTGCGCTCAGTATGGCCGGTCAGCCCCTCAGTGGGGTGGGCCGGGTGGGGACCCTTCTATAAGAGCTGTTGGGAAGCTCCTGAGAAGGGGGAGAGGCCACACTGGAGTGGCCAGAGAACAGGTCGAGCCCCTAGGCTGCTGGCTCCTTGCTGACCCTTTGACGCCTGCTTACGGGGTCTTTGTGCAAATCCTCCAGGGGAGGTGGTGGGGCAGCCACTTTACAGGTAAGGAAACTCAGGCTCAGAGAGGCAAAACAACTTGCTTTCAGTCCCACCGCTAGTGAGTGGGGAGAAAGGAGATGAAAGGATTCCCAAGGCCACCTTCTCCCCACCACCAGGCTGCCACCGTGTTTCATTGTCTCTTGGACTTCTAGGAACCCAGGTGGAGCGGGGAAAGCCTGCCCGAGTTTGTTCTTACCCCTGGGCCTTTGCACGGCCTTCCCCTGGCTGGGGCACCTTCCCATTTTACTGCGCACAGTTTGGTGTTTACGGGAGACCCTCTGCCACCACTGCGCAGGGTTCCCCTTAACTCCGCCCCTTCACCGTCCAGCACTCAGCCTGGCTGGCTCTTGCTCCTTCCATAAGGCCACCCCGGGCCCTGCTGCGAGGGGCCTTTGTGGGTTCAGTCCACCTGCACCCTCTCCTGCCATAGCACCTCTGCCACCTGCCACACCCTCAGACCTGGAGCCCCTGAGGGCCGAGAGAAGCATTTTGCAGGGGGAACACAGTAGACTGGGCACTTTGCAACCCAAGGAGCGCTGTCCCCAGCAGAAAGCCCAGGGGCCTTCACCAGCCAGCCTTGGCCACGCCAGCTGTCCCAGCGTCTCCAGTCCCCGGGCTGTGGCAGGGAGCCAGCCACCGAACACCGGCTGGAGCCGGAGCTGCCCACGCGGCATCGTGGGGGCTGAACGCCCACCTCCCCTGCCGCCTGCCAGCGTCTCATTGATTGATCCGCAGCACCCACCAGCATTCCCGGGCAGCTCTGCGGAGCCAAGGACGCTTCCTACCTAGATGGTTAAAATTCACATCGAAACTGGAGCGAAAGCGTCCTGGTGGCGCGTGAGCCTGCCCGCGCCTGGCCTTCCCACGCAGCCGCAGGAGACCGGCGGTGGACCCAGAGGAAGAGGCTCCTGGGATCAGCCGGGCCACCTGGAGGGGCCTGGAGTTGGCCCCCTCCTGTGGCTCCGGGCTCTGCCTGCTCCTGCGCCTCCACGAGGAAGTCCAATCAGAGGGTCCTGGGAAGGTGGAGGGTCTGCTTTCTCCCTCAGTCTCCAAGACGGCGCCACAGGCACGTCTGCACAGATGCCAAGAAGCTGCCAGAAGGAAAAGAGAAAAACAGATCTGCAGGCTGAGCGCCGGCTGCCCAGTGAGGCCTCCTGTTTATCAGGCGTCGTCGTCTGCAGACACCGCGCGGGGCCCAGCGCTTCTCTGCAGCGGCTGAGGGGATCCTCCAGGACCAGGAAGCAGGCTCCAGAGTCAAGGGGCTGCCCAAGGCCACAGGGCCAAGGGGGCAGACTTGCGATCCACTTGGCCCTAAACCCCTCTGCACCCGGTGGGCGGCCCAAGTCCGGCTGGTGGGCGTGGCCTGAGCCTGCTGGTGGGCGTGGCCCGAGCTGCCCCTAGAGACCCAGCCCTGGGCAGTGTCCCTTGGTTTCGAAAGTCTCTGGTCCCACAACACACCCTGGGCCCCTGGCCATATGCCTATTCTGTGTTCCAGGCACTGACCGACCACCCGAGGTCCAGACTGACCCTCGGCCCACCTTAAAGATCAGGGGCTCGAAGGAGAGGGGCAGCCCAAGGATTGGGGCACAGAGGAAGCTCTGATGGGGACAAGGGTGGCAGTGGGCGCCAAGCTGCTTCATCCACCCAAGCGTGGGAAGGAAACAGCCGGCCACACCCATGGGCTCCGCATTTTGCCTGCAGCGGATGGGGTGTTTCACCTGGACGCTGGGGGCATCCTGAACCCATGGAATTGGATGTGGAGTTACCTGGGCCTCAGGGAGGGACCTCAGGGCGCTCATCAGCTTCTCAAATGGTGGCGAAGGGTTCCGCGTGTAAATCGCACCTCGGGAAGAAAGCAATGACTAAAACCATGTTTTAGAAATGAAAACAGTGACCTCTGGGTAGAGGAGGACAGCCTGTTCCCGAGGTGTGGGAAGACCGACGCCCACAGGCCGAGTTCTCTGGGTAGGTCCGGGGTGTGTGTCGGGGTTGTGACATTGGCCATCTGTGCACAGAGGGGTACCCAGGGGACCAGACCCTCCAGAACCTTTTCATCTTGGGAAGGTGGAAATATCTGGGCCTCCCTGCCCTCCTGCTTTCCAAAGGGCTGGGAGCAAATGAACTGAATTATGGGGCTCCCCAAAACACCTCTGCCCCAAACCCCTGCTGAGAGCCGTCCCTCTGCTCAGCTGGGCCAGCATCTGCCTGTCTGGTGGCTGTAGAGCTGGGCGTGTGGACCAGGCTCAGAGGAGGAGCCCCGCTCTCTGCTGTCCTGCTGGGCTGCCTCGCCCAGCCTGTGGCCCTCTCTGAGCCACCA